ATGAAACATAATTTATCAGTGCTTAATGAGAGTTTATTCCCATCAAGCCATCATTTTATTTTTTTCATCTCAGTTTCTACTGTTTCTACCATCTGTTTGATTTTATCTCCTGCATAATAAAAGGTAGTGTCATCTGCAAATAGAATATATTTTCATATATTTGATATAGAGGCAATACCATTTATATACATAATAAATAGTTTCGGACCCAGTACTGACTCTTGTGTACCCCACATGTAATATCACGTAGATTTGATTTAATATAATTTATTTGTACATATTGTTTCCTATCATTCAAATAACTGGTTAACCATTTTAGAGCCATTGCTTGAATACCATGTTTACTAAGTTTTTTAAGAAGAATTTCATTATCTACTGTATCAAACGCTTTTTTTAAATCAATAAAAATACTTATGAAATGGTTCTTTTTGTCAATGGCTTCTGATATTTCTTCTGTAAGTTCCATTAGTGCCATGGAAGTTGAATGATTAGTTCTAAAACCATATTGACTGTCTTCGTCTTCGTCTTCCTCCGCTTATCCGGGTCCGGGTCGCGGGGGCAGCATCCCAATTAGGGAGCTCCAGGCCGTCCTCTCCCCGGCCTTGTCCACCAGCTCCTCCGGCAGGACCCCAAGGCGTTCCCGGACCAGATTGGAGATGTAACCTCTCCAACGTGTCCTGGGTCGACCCGGGGGCCTTCTGCCGGCAGGACATGCCCGAAACACCTCCCCGGGGAGGCGTCCAGGAGGCATCCTGACCAGATGCCCAAACCACCTCAACTGGCTCCTTTCGATCCGGAGGAGCAGCGGTTCTACTCCGAGTCCCTCCCGAATGTCCGAGCTCCTCACCCTATCTCTAAGGCTGAGCCCGGCCACCCTACGGAGGAAACTCATTTCGGCCGCTTGTATCCGCAATCTCGTTCTTTCGGTCATTACCCAAAGCTCATGACCATAGGTGAGGATTGGGACGTAGATCGACCGGTAAATCGAGAGCCTGGCTTTCTGGCTCAGCTCCCTCTTCCCCACGACAGATCGGCTCAGCGTCCGCATCACTGCAGACGCCGAACCAATCCGCCTGTCGATCTCCCGATCCCTCCTACCCTCACTCGTGAACAAGACCCCGAGATACTTAAACTCCTCCACTTGAGGTAGGACCTCTCCCCCGACCCGGAGGTGGCAAGCCACCCTTTTCCGATCAAGAACCATGGTCTCAGATTTGGAGGTGCTGATCCTCATCCCAGCCGCTTCACATTCGGCCGCGAACCTACCCAGCAAGAGCTGAAGGTCAGAGCTGGATGAAGCTAGGAGGACCACATCATCCGCAAAAAGCAGAGACGAGATTCTCCTGCCACCAAACTCGACACACTCCACACCACGGCTGCGTCTAGAAATTCTGTCCATAAAAGTGATGAACAGAACCGGTGACAAAGGGCAGCCCTGGCGGAGTCCAACCCTCACTGGGAACAGGTCCGACTTACTACCGGCTATGCGGACCAAACTCACGCTCCTCTGGTAAAGGGACTGAATGGCCCTTAACAGAAAGCCACCCACCCCATACTCCTGGAGCGTCCCCCACAGGGTGCCCCTGGGGACACGGTCATAAGCCTTCTCCAAATCCACAAAGCACATGTGGATTGGTTGGGCAAAACTCCCACGCCCCCTCCATCACCCTTGCAAGGGTATAGAGCAACTGTGGACCCACCACCCGCAGGAGGAACATGAAGGGTCCGGTGCAATGCGAATCGGGTGGCAGACCAAGGCGGGAGCCTTGGCGGTCCAATCCCCGGACAAGAAAACTAGTTTTTGGGACATGGAACGTCACCTCGCTGGCGGGGAAGGAGCCGGAGCTTGTGACAGAGGTTGAGCGGTACCGGCTAGATATAGTCGGACTCACCTCGACAAATTGCATTGGCTCTGGAACCCGAGACCTGGAGAGGGGTTGGACACTCTACTTTGCTGGAGTTGCTCCGGGTGAGAGGCGGAGGGCTGGGGGTGGCTTTTTGTTAGCCCCGAGACTCTCTGCCTGTGTGTTGGGGTTTACCCCGGGGGACAAGAGGGTAGCTTCCCTGCGCCTTCGGGTCGGGGAACGGGTCCTGTATGTTGTTTGTGCTTATGGGCCAAATATCAGTTCAGAGTACCCACCCTTTTTGGAGTCCCTGGGACGAGTGCTAGATAGTGCTCCATCAGGGGACTCCATTGTCCTGCTGGGGGACTTCAATGCTCACGTGGGCAATGACAGCTTGACCTGGAGGGGTGTGATTGGGAGGAACGGCCCACCTAATCTGAACTCGAGCGGTGTTTTGTTATTGGACTTCTGTGCAAGCCGCATATTGACTGTCGTTTAATATATTTTCTTTCGTCAGGAATTCATCTAGCCTAGTAATAAATAGTTTTTCTAATATTTTTGAAAATTTCGACAATAAGGATATTGGTCTGTAATTGGAAAAAATGTGTTTTTCACTACTTTTGTATATTGGTATGACTTTTGCTATTTTCATGTTATCTGGAAATGTTCCTGTTAAATGACATATGTAAGTGAAAGGATGGATGATATTTTCTATTATATTTTTTATTAATGTTACGTCTAGATCGTTACAGTCAGCAGTTCTTTTATTGATGCATTTATTTACAATGATTCTTATTTCATCGCTAGTTACTGGACTTAGAAGTATACTATTTTTATTACTTGCTATGTTTCCATTGATGTTATAATAAGTTCTTTTAGGAATGTTGTTTGTTAAGTTTGGTCCCAAACTAGATTTAGTAATTGTTAAATTTGTTTGCTATTGTACTAGTTTCACAAATTTCCAACTGTCCATTTACAAAGTATTGAGGAACAGTTGAAGCTGTTTTATTTCTTTTTGTTACAGTATTTCCCAAGTTGCTGTGATATAATTTTTATTTTTGTCTAATAAATTGCTATAATAATCCTTTTTCTGGTTTCTTATTATTGTAACTAATTTATTCTTTTTTGTACCTATTTTCTGCTTCACTTGTTCTTTGCTTTAAAACGCATCTATATAAGGTATTTTTTTTCTTACAGGCATTCTGAAGCCCTTTTGTCATCCATGGATGGTTCATCCCTTGTCTTTTTGTTAGAATTTTGGTTTTACAGTTTTTATCAAATGGGTTACACAATATTCTTAAAAAGGAGTTGTTTACATCTTTAACAGACTGTTTCCCAGTTTTGTCCTTTTAACTAAAACGGTCCCATTGTTGCACATGAAGGGGCGGGGTTTATAACTGTTACAAAAACCAGCCACTAGGTGGTGCTTGCTTTGTTTTGGCTTTAACTTCCAATTCACGTTCCACTGTCTAGTTGATATGTTTGTCGATGACTTGAACATAATTAGGAAAAAGTTAGAAATGCAAATGTTGGCACAAAAAATCTACACAGGAAGTGAGACAGCTAGCTTCCGCTATTAGTGTCGCTGGCAAAAAAACGCACAATTAGATGTAAATGAAACTGACGGCCCTTTAAAGGTTTAAAATAGATCAGCCATGTTAAGTCCAACAAAATCTTTTAGGTTAAAGGCTGTTAACTCATTCACTGCCAATGATGACTAAAGTCATTTGCATGTTTTTACTCTGCAGGCGTCGGACGAGCCCCCGCAACGTGAGAACAAACATCTCAGCTCTAAAGCCGATCTTCATCTGCGTACGTCACACGTCACGTGATCAGGAAGCAGAACATCCATGTGTTAGGAGATCGTTTTGGGCCGCTGCTGTAAAAAAAGTGAGGAGCGAACCGGAAAAGCTTCTGCCGATCACAATTCAACAACGGATTATGAAAGAACGGATAACGCTCGAAACGCGCGGATTCTTCCTGATGTAAGAGGTGAGTCTCCACTTTGTTTTGGTTGTTTTGGCGTTGACATCATCCTAGCGCGCAACGTTCTGTGGCTCTTAAAAAAACAGTAAAAACGGCGAGAAACGCTGGCAGCGAATGAGTTAAGATGGCAGCAACTCACTTTTGTCTCGTCCCCACTCAGACTAGTCATTAGCTTATCAATCTTTTCAGAAACTGTTCCTCGTAACTTAAGTTGATCAAAAAAAAATCTGTCTAACAGCTGAGATTCAATTCCACGGAGGTCAGTTTCTGCAGATCTGATTCATCTATTGAAACTTCAGGACTGTGACGTTGGAACAACTCCAGACTAACGCAGTAGCGTTAGTATTCACGCTCTGGCTGTGGACATTTATGGATTTCCACACAGACATGTGTAAATGACCTTTGGATGTTGATAAACCTTTCTTTATTTAGCAACGCGGGTGTAGTTATTTTACTCTGATTTATTATTATTTATCTGTTTTATATTACTGAACTTTCTCATTTTGCTGAGATTCTTGTGTTCATTTACACATTTTTAAAAAATAAAGTCAGTGACTAAAATGACTAATAAACATGAGAAAACAGTTCAAAATAAGCACAGAAAACACCTTTTCATTGTTCTGATGAACATGTGCTTGGTGTGTCCTTTTCTAACAGAGACAATAAACTAGGAAATGAAGCTTCCTACTGAGACGTTCACTGTTTGGTTTGATTCTTTAAAAAGTCATCGAAATTATCCAGAACACACGACGCTCAATCGGGGCAAACAGAACAAAAACGTCAAAAATCCAGCAGGTAGAACCGTCCTCCATTTTTGATGCATCCAGTCAAAGGTAATTAAACTCAGAGCGTCGGTACATCTGTGCGTTTCCATGACGCCGTGCGGGCGCGAGGCAGATTATCTGTGTCAGTGGCCATTTGCTCACAACTGGCGCCACATCGGGGAGAGCCAGAGGCAGAGAGCATCATGGGTAAGTGAGCACACGCTGCCTGGCGGTTCTCCACACACACACACACACACACACACACACACACACACACACACACACACACACACACACACACACACACACACACACACACACACTGCGTGAGAGGCGGGAGGAACACAGTCGTGCTCTCAGCTGACAAACTTCCTGCCAAACAGAGATGATTTCATACACGGCGTACCTGTTAGCCTGGAGTTAGCGTACGGAGGTGAGAGGCTGTCGTGTGACGCCATGTACTGAGACCCGTCAGCGTAGCTCTGGACAGACAGGAAATGGGATTCGTTAAGTCTCACACATAAACGAGGCCTGAGCCGTGTCAGCAGGCTGAGTGCATTCACTTAATAAATGATGGATTTTAATTAGCTGAACAATTCAGACTGGTTTTACTGGTTTCAGAGACTTTTTGAGTCATTGTGATCAGTCTGACCAACCTCCAAATCCAATATGGCCGCCTCACACAAGTGTCTAAAGACACTACTTACCTAATGTTTCTGCAGCTAACCTGGTTACTGGTTAATAACTAAGCTGCAGTAGGGAGCCCTGACCCAATCACAGTCAGGAATAAACCTGCTGGGTGTTCCCAACTAACCTCTGATCTCCCAAAGCGTACCTCGGGACGGCCACCTCCGCAACAAGCACATGGTTTTATCAGCATGCTTTCGATACATGAATCGAAATATTCCAGTAAGTGGTCTAGAAGAAAATCCTAATCTGATTATTCCCAGGGAAAGTATTTTATTATTTTGTTAGTGTAATCTGAGGTTGGGAGGAAACAAAAGTTTGCAGATTGATGGTATAAAGAGTCCGAATAGAAGCGAACAGCTTTGTTATTATTAGTTATATCAGTTATTAAATGTCCTTTCTTACCTTGGAAGATCGGCTCCCGCTGGCCCACGATGCCGTGCTCGTTCTCTCGTCCATACCTGCAGCAGAGAGAAGGTGTTTGTTTACATGAAACCATCACTGACAGAAGCAGTCTGACTGACAGCGTTCGAATTTAAAGGGTTTACTTTCGTTTTGTCCTGATTTGTAGCTTCAAGCTAACATTTCCTTTAAAACTATTTCAAATAAATCAAAAAGAAATAAAGCTAAAGGTAAAAAAAGGAGGTTAGCAAGAACCAAACGAATCAATTATTTAACCCGTTTACCAAAACAACGAGTTCAGTTCAGTCTGTGCACACATCATCGCTGCACACAGCGCCTTTAAGCCAGAGGACTCCAAAGCGCTTTACACTTCAGCCATTCACCCATCCAGACCCTCCCCCAGGCGCCATCACCGAGGACAAACTCATGCCAACAAAACAGAAAGCGGACTTTAATTTGACTGATTATTTCATCTGGAGTCTAAATCAGAAATGATGGAAATCGGTATCGGCCCCAAAAACCAGTGACTGGTGGAGAAGTGCTGAGAGAATGAGCACCTGAGATTTTCTCTGAAGTTTCATGAAAAATAACTCGGGACTAAAGATTTTAAAAAGCTGAAAAGTGAAAAATGGGAACGACCCACAACACAGAAATGAGCCAGAACATTAGAGCCGTCCGTAGCAAAGATCGGATTGGTTGTTTCAGACTCCTGCAAAACAATTCCAGGTCACATTTCTGGATGCAGCCGGGAATCCCTCACATGTTCAGGAGCCAATCGTGTTTTACAAAAACACGCTGTTGCAGAGAAAGAGCCTAAAACGGGCTTAAAGCATCTTAAACAGGCGCTGAATTAATTAAGAAGAGGAGAGAGGTCTGGAGGCAGAGGGGGAGAAGCAGGAGGAGCAGGAGGAGCAGAGCAGGTAAAAAAGGGCATCCCTCATTGTTGGGAAGTCTGGGAATGGGAGGAGAAGGAGAGAAAGTGTGAGCGGGACTTCTGGAAGTTGAAAGAAGTGGAGGAGGAGAGAAGGAGGCCTCCATGTGTCCTGCACCCGATAAGGCCTCCAATTGAGGACTATAAATTACACAAGAGAACTCACACACACACACACACACACACACACACACACACACACACACACACACACACACACACACACACACACACAGCAGGTTATCTATCATCAGTTAATGAACTTAGACTGACAGACAGCCCCATGTCTCTCACACTGATCCTATTAAGACCCGCCTGACACAAAACAGACTCCTATTAATACAGTTAGCCTCAACCAGTGTGTGTGTGTGTGTGTGTGTGTGTGTGTGTGTGTGTGTGTGTGTGTGTGTGTGAGTGTGTGTGTGTGTGTGTGTGTGTGTGTGTGTGTGTGTGTTATCAGAGATGACAAAAACAGGCCTAGATCATAGGGAATATGCTGTTTCTATTCGATATATGATGATATAAAAAGCAGATTGATTAGAAAGATGTTTATTCTGGTTTCTGCTATAAAAACTTTAAGAATAAAAACAATAAATGCACCGATTCTTGAGCAGCTCTGACCTGCCAATACCATCTGGCTGATGCTGATTTATCTCCAAAGGGTAAGATGAACAAAAAATAGTTGATTAAGTCAGAAATTAGGATGGAAGGTTTGTTTTTGCTCGAGTCGAGTATCCATTGATGCTAATAAAAAAGAAAACTGGCTGCTGAGTGATAACGCTGACTGTAGAAAAATTGGTCGATGGGATTACAATTCAAAGAGTAAAAGAAACTAAATTTCTTGGAGTTCTTATTGATGAAGACTTGTCATGGAAATCCCATATTAGTTACATAAAAGGTAAAATTGCCAAATCCTTAGGAGTATTACATAGAGTCAAGTTTTTACTGACTAATTCTGGTTTGTTGGCATTGTACACTTCACTGACTGGTCCATACTTGACTTACTGTGTAGAAATCTGGGGAGCAACATACAAAAACTATACACGACCCTTATTTATTTTACAGAAAAGAGCTCTGAGAATCATCAATTATAGTGGCTGTAGAGATCCATCCAACCCGTAGTTTATTAAATATAAATTACTGAAATTTCATGATTTAAAAGACTGGAAAATCTTACAAACCATGTATAAAGCCAATTTAGGTACTCTGCCAACAAACATTCAGGGGATATTTGAAAAGAGAACTAGTAATTACACGCTGAAAGACACTGGTGTGTTTACAAAACCTAGATTTAGAACTAATATTAAGGAGTGGAATATATCTGTACATGGTGTTAAATCATGGAATAACCTTAAAAGGAAAATAAAAAAAAATCTGTCATTTTGTGTATAAAAAATGTACCAAACTGAGTGTAGTAAATAATTATGAAAATGTAAATTAAATCAATGATCATGATCGCTCTGGAATTTAGACCAGGAAAAAGTTTTATATGAATCTCTATGTGTGTGTCTGACTAATGGAAATGGGAATATTGTATATTGTGTATTGTGTATTGTATATTGTGTAATGTATATTGTATATTGTGTATTGTGTATTGTATATTGTGTAATGTATATTGTATATTGTGTATTGTGTATTGTATATTGTGTAATGTATATTGTGTATTGTGTATTGTATATAAATAGATTATTTCTTCTGGAAAAGGGGGCAGAAATTATAAGACGTTTTCTGCTCCTTTTCGTTCAAATTTGATGTTTTGTTGTTATGTATAGCTTATTGTTTATATGTTTTATTTGTGTTTATTTTGAATGAAATAAACACATAATAATAAAAAAATCACCAGCTTTGATTTCTTAATATTTTTCAGGATTCTTTTGGTGCGTCTCCAGTAAAAATCTTGACTTCACACATTTTTGTTGCACCCCGAGTCATGTGACCTTAGAGCTCAATTATTTTAAACTTGACTAAATCTTTAACAATTATTCATCAAAAGGCTAACAAATATCAAAAAGCAGTCTTGTTTGGTGAGAGCCTAAAGTGGGTTGATCCTTACAGAGTTGAGTGGCTCTCCATGCATTTCTACAGCAAGCACCAATTACATTCACTTCCCAGTTTACAGGAAGGATTCCTAAAGGTTGGTTTATGCTTGACGCGTCCGCGAGGTCCGCGCGGCGAAATTGCATCATTTTAACAACCACGCCCCTCCACCGCGCCTCCGCACGGCCCAGAATTTCCGCAGCGCGCACCTAGGAAAATTTCTAACCACGCGGAAAAACATGGCGGACTGGCAAGAACTAGTATGGCAGAGGTTCGTAAATACAGACATTTGTATGATTCGGCTCTCAGAGATCACCGTGATCAACATGTTGTTAATAATTCTTGGAGAGAAATAACTCGCACTGTCGGAAAAGACGAGGACACTGTTAAAAATGCTGGAATGCCATGTTGTAAACAACAGTAATTTTTACTTCTACTATGGTGTAGTGTTGGATGCATGCCGTACAGCTCCATGGTGTCCCCTACAGTTTGGGAGAATATTGGCTCACCGCAGAGACGAGCCGCACGAACCATAAACGCTGCAAGTTGTGAAGCGCGTTCCATCCGCGAGCCACATCACCAAGTGGAAAGTAAACGCATCAAGCATAAACCAAGCTTTAGGAAGGGGAGGTGATCCGGTTGGATCGGGTTGGATCGGGTCGGAGGACGCCGTGAGTCGGTTCAAAAGCCGCAGACGTGTGTCACAAGGATTGTTCTGCTTTCACCGAACAGGCTGCTGATGGTGTGGAAGCTTGTTGACAAGTGAAGTCTGACACACACACACACACACACACACACACACACACACACACACACACACACACACACACACACAAACACACACACACAGGGACTCGGTGACTGTAATAAAGGGTCTCTGACAGAAATGAGGACACTGGTCACTGTGAGGCCGTGGTGTGTTGGTGCAGGTGCACCTGTCGGAGCTCTGAAGCTCCACTGTTCTCACCTGGTCTCCAAACAAACCCGTTAATTACCCGTAGGACTCAAACCCACCTCCACCATCACCGCCTCACTCTGGACTTTTGTCTCAACCCAGGCTTTTAGCTCTCTTAAATCGAATGATTATTCCTCTACGTAGTGGAGAGTTTCCCCAGATTCCCAAACCCAACGGAAAACTTCCCAATCTAAACAAGGAGTCTGTTGATGTGACTTAACTGTGAGTTGGTTATTTACACATAATCAGGCAGTGGCACTCCCAGAAGTTTTGGGGGGGTCAGATAACATTTTGGGTTCTTGTGGTAACTCTGGGAGAGTTCAGTCTGTGACGATGCATTGTCCGTCCATCCATCCACTTTCCTCCACTTATCCAGAGATGGGTCACAAGGCCCAGACTTCCCTCTCCCCAGCCACTTGGGCCAGCTCTTCCAGTGAAACCCAAGGCGTTCCCTGGCCAGGTGAGAAACATAGTTTCTCCAGCTTGTCCTGGAAATTCATTGTAATTATCTTTCAGCCAACGTGACCCCACATTTTATTTCAGGTAAGGAAAAATGGGAAAAAGAGACAGCAAAAAGAGACAGAAAACAGTGAAAATAAAGAGGGAGTCAAAGATGAGAGACCGAAGTAAAAGATGCAGGAAATGAAAGAAAAACTAAGTTAGGGACGAGGAACGACGTGAAAAAGATGACTCGAACAAAACTAAATTGACTTCAGTCGTCTTATTTCAGACAAAACAAAGCTTCTTCTGATTTCACTAGAATCAAGTTTTAATTTAATCCTTCGTAATCACGCACGCACACGCACACACACACACACACACGCATGCACTCACGCACACACAAACACGCACGCACACACACAAGCATGCACTCACGCACACACACACACATGCACGCACACACACGCATGCACTCACGCACACACACACACACACACACACAAACACACACACACACACACGCACTCACACACACACGCACGCACACACACACACACACACGCATGCACTCACGCACACACACACGCACGCACACACACAAGCATGCACTCACGCACACACACACACACACACACACGCACACGCACTCACACACACACGCACACACACACACGCATGCACTCACGCACACACAC